CTCCAATCTCTGCCTCCATCTTCCCATCAGCTACTTCTCCAACTCTCTTTGTGCCTCTCTTTGCTACCAGGTCACCAGACATTGGATTTAGGCCCAACCTAAGCCAGTAGTATCACTTGCTCTTTACCTTGATTACATTTGTAAAAACTCTATTTCCAAATAAAGTCACGTATTGAGATTCCAGTAGACATTTTTTTGGGGGGAGGGGGTACTATTCAACTGAGTACAGCTTCCTCTATTGTATTTACCCAATAAGCTCCTTTGTTGTTACATGGAACTCCCATGTTCATAAACACTTTCTTTGAATGGATGGATGTACAATATTCTCTTTCCCCATTGGTGGACATTTAGGTAGTAGAGGGTGACAGCTAGCACATAGGACCTTGATGCAAATCACACACAGGTGTTCCCTTCCCTGGGCTGACCGAGGTGCCCAGGTAGGTGAGCGGAGCAGCGGCCGGATTTCAGCTTCCACTTAACTGCTCTGTCAGTCACCTTTCTGCATGTGGGACATGATGGCCCAGGCCTGGGAGAATGGAACCTAGGATGGTTTGTTACCATTTTAGAATATTTAAGAAGCTCAATTTTTGCATTTGGCTTTTTTTTCTGTTTCAAATTAGGAAGCACACAATGTCCACATTGAAAGAGGCCCTAGAAATCTTTTGCTTCAAATGCCTCCATAACATCAGATGAGAAAATAATTATAATATCCTATAATAATTTGGTGTTTATTGTTTCACATAGCATAGTTGAAATGTATTATTTTTCAGTCTTGGGAAAAGAGACTCAGAAATTTTAACTAACTTTGCTACTAAACAGGGTAAAATATCAACTCTCTTGTCTTTCCTCAGTACCTTGCTTGGCTCAGGCTGACTCAAGTCGAGCCCTGCTTCCTCTTGTACATCCCAGCTGTGCCATAATCATTATTTTAAAATGTTTATGAACAGGGACATAGTCCTCCTTTTATGTCTGTAGTCTGGTTTCTTTTGAAACTACCTACACCTTTCTTCCTCTCTTTTGAACTTTGCTTTGATGAATATATTTCTGACCAGATAAAAGAAGTTGCGAGTACAGCCTTCTTAACTTGAAATGACCACCTTTGTTCATATCTTTATACATATTCATAATTTATACTATTACCACAGTACTTTGGTTGCTGTGACAAGCCTGATATTTCAATAGCACATATTTCAAAGGCAGCGAAGAAAATATATAGCATCTTCTTATTCTGATATATAAGTAACTTTTTTGAATGCTTTTTAAATTTTTTTTATAGAGAAAAAGTTCAATTAATTTTGTAAGGGCTAAAGTAAATGAAAATAACTCAATGAAATAAATAAGAATTCAAGTTCGTAGTCTAATTAGTAGACCAAAATTCTTAGCATTTACCTTCTCCACAGGTATTTTTGTGATTTCTTGATGGTATAGAACTCAGCTCATTCCTCTCTGTGTTCCTTGGGGTTTAATGCAATGCCAGCCATACACGTGGCTGCTAATAAGTTCATGTTGATTGAATGAATGGCACAACCACCTCGGCTCTTTTCCTTATGTGTTCCGCTCTGGCCACTGTGACTACCTGTTATCTGGACACGTTGCCCCTCGTCCCACCTGCATGCCTTTGCAATGAATGACTTTTCTCCAGTGACCTCCCCCCTTCCAGGTTCCTACTCATCTTTTAAGATCCAAATGTCAGATCCTCCACGAAGCATTTATTAAGGTCACGATGATGCCTCATTCATCTCTATGTCCCCAGCATCTGGCACAGAGTCAAAGTTATGAAATGTGCATTGAAATGAGAAAGTGAATGAACAGAGGGACAGAGTCAGTATCCCATAGCAGATAAGAACGTGGGCTTTATGGTCTGACAAACCTGGATGCATATCCTGCTTCTTGACTTGCACCTGGTGACCTTGGTCAGGTTATGTCATCCCTCTGAGACTTCTTTTCATTGGTTGTCAAATGAGGATAATGACAGCATCTGACTCCACGGGTTCTTGGTAAGGATAAACTGAGATCCTGTTTGGAAAATCCTTCACCTCATGCGTGCTAAATGATAGCGCTGATAGACTCGTTCTACAGCTTTCCTTCGATTGCACTGGAGAGGCTGTGGTCTGGCCGGCCTCAGTGTGATTGTATCAGATGGAAATATTTTGGCTGGGGAGTCATGGAATTGTCATGGTCACCACCCCATTTTCAAATGGAATAGAACAGAAAAGCAGACTCCAGCTAACCAGAAAGCACTACTAGAGTAGAATTTTCTTGGCACTTAGATTTCAGGAGAAAGAGACAAACCACGAAATAGAAACGAATGTAAGGGTTTTTTAAAATATAGAAACCTTGCAAGTAAGTTCTAGGGGATGACCTCTGAACTGTGTTCAGCCTAAACCTCTGTAGTTTTGCACAGTGGAAAATATATACCATAGGCATTCAATTAATCCTACCAGCTGGTGATTTGGCCTTACACTGTTTCTAAAAAAAATTGAAATGGGTGTCAAGATAAAAAAGAAACTATTATGAAAAGTTTCAAATATATACCAATTTAGAGTGATTAGTCTAATAAATTTCCACATAACTATGAATCAGCTCAATTAATAGTTATTCAATGAGAAATATTCAATCAACTCAATAATTAGCAATATTCTGCCATTCTATTTCATTCTTCTGCTCCTTTTTACTTGTGTGTTTTGCTAGAGTATTTAAAAGCAAATGCTAGACATATTTTTTCACTCATCAATATTTTAGTATCAGATAAACACTTTTTTTTAAAAAATATATTTTATTGATTTTTCACAGAGAGGAAGGGAGAGAGATAGAGAGAGTTAGAAACATCGATGAGAGAGAAACATCGATCAGCTGCCTCCTGCACATCCCCCACTGGGGATGTGCCCGCAACCCAGGTACATGCTCTTGACCGGAATCGAACCCGGGACCTCTCAGTCCGCAGGCTGACGCTCTATCCACTGAGCCAAACCGGTTTCGGCAACACTTTAAAAGTATAATTATAATCTGTTATTATAGCCAACACAATTAAAATTAATTTCTTAATAGGATCTAAAACCCAGCCCATGTTCCGTTTTCCTGATTGCATCAATAAGTCTTTTTAAAAATATTCATTGGGTGACATTGGTCAACATAAACATATAGGTTTTGGATATGGGTTTCTATGTTACAAGATCTGTATATTGTACCATATGCCCACCACCAAAGCCAGATCTTCTGCTGTCACCTTCTATTAGGTCCTAATAAGTCTTTTATAGTTATTTTGTTTGAATCAGTATCCCAGCACAGTTCACAAATGCTATTTGTTGGCTACATGTCCTAAGTCTGTTAATTTGTAACCATTCCCCTCCTTTGTTTCCATGCATTTATTTCTTTTTTATTCTCTAATATATTTTTATTGATTTCAGAGAGGAAGGGAGAGGGATAGAAAGATAGAAACATCAATGATCAGAGAGAATCATTGATCAGCTGCCTCCTGCTTCCCCACCCACTTGGGATTGAGCCCACAACCCAGGCATGTGCCCTTGACTGGAATTGAACCTGGGACCCTTAAGTCCACAGGCTGATGCTCTATCCACTGAGCCAAACCAGCTAGGCCATGCATTTATTTCTGTAAGAATTTTTAAATAGGTAAATATTTCACAAAAACAAGGTTTGTGGTTTCTCTTGGGAAAAAAAAGGAAGATCTGGCAGCCCTGGCTCACACTCCCAGCTGGCACATGGTGAGACTGTAGCCCTTCCCGCATGCTAGTGCCTGAAGACCCCCACAGTCCTCACTAGTCCCTGTTGCACCAACCAGCTCACCCCATTGACGTTGCCTACCCAGCCCCCATGGGCGTTATGCTGGCCACCTCTGACCTACATATACATCTATTGGGCAATGAGCACTGAATCCTGAGTGATGACCTTCAAGTCCAAAAACATCCTCAGTCATTATGTCAGTGTTCAGTTTGGTGCCCTGTATCATGTAGGTAGGAATGGAAGCTGAAATGTTTCAAAAGTTTTCAGTGAAGGATTAGATCAACAAAATCTTTTTTAAAATCCTAAATTAGCTTAAAACTTTATGAACTGGCATGTCTCTTGTCTTGATCATTCCAGTTCATCTGCTTTACAGCCTTTCATTCTGTAAGTTTCTTTTTTACCGTGTGGAGGTTTGATCTACAAAGGCCACTGGACAAGGTGTCACAAGACCCAAACTTGAGCCTTGGTCCTATGGCAAGTGGGCCACCGTTTTGCTTCTCTGAGACCCTTGCAGAGTGGAGGTATTAACAGCCTATCTCTCAGGGTTGTTGTGAAGTTCAAATAAAGTAACAGATGTGATGTTAATTTGTAAACTGTATAGCTCTACACATAAGCTATTACTGTGCAGGAGGCTATATTGAATTATGCGTACCATCCTCTTTCATGCCTCCATGCCGTTACTCTGCTGTTCTCTCTCCTTGGGATGCCCTTAAGAATGAATTGCTCGTCATCTGTGGTCCCCAAACACTTTATAACCTTCATCACACTGTAGTAAGGGCGTTTGTTCACATCTTTGTCTTCTGGAAGATTCTGAAAGCAAACTGCAGTTTATTCAGGGCTTGGCACACAGCAGACTCTCAGTAAGTGTCTGTTGAATTCGTTTGGACTGATTTGAATAATTATCATATGTGTGCCTTCTTGAAGGACAAAGTCTATGTCATACAGTTTTTTAGGTATATCACCTGATAACTGACCAGCCTTGGCTCTTGTTAAAAGCTGCTGCTACTGCTGCTGATGATGATGATGAAGAAATATTCATAAAAATAGTTTTGTATTTTACATTTAAGTCAATGATCAGACTTCTTAAGTATATTATTAGTAATGTAAGCTCATTAACAATGAAAGCACCTAAATGTGAATGCCTATGATTAAGTATTTTTTTTTTCCGTTGGGGAGAACTTAACAGAAATCCCAGTCATCCTTTTTGGCCCCAGTTATCTGATTTTCTTCATTAATTTAGGCTTCTTGCTCTGTTACAGCTGGTTTGCCATCCACCCTGTCAGCATGAACAATAGCAATCATCTTGTAAATAGTGACAATATGGGCTATGCATCTTACCTATTTGAGCAAGAGAAGAACAAAGGACATTTACCTGGACAGGTAAGAATTTGTGTTATTGAAAACTTCACCTTAATTCATTGAGTATCATCACTCATGCAATATTCAAAATAGTTGAGTCAAGTTTTCAGAGTAAAGTGTCAGTATGGGCATCACATACTGATATACTTGTATAAAAAAAAATTCATCTTACCTAGTAGGAAAAGAAAAATTCAAAATGACCAAGAAACTGTGTCAAACACTACCTATATTGATGGCTTCAAGAACCATTTTGTGTGGTGAACACACAATACAATATACAGATGATGTATTACAGAATTATACACTTGAAACCTATATAATTTTATTAACCAATGTCACCTCAATAAATGCAATAAAAAGCCACTTGGAATAGTTCCAAGCAAAAAAAAAAAAACAAAAAAAAAAACAGAATGGCAGGACAGTGGCTTGAGGTTACTGCCTTGTACCACTCTAAAAGGTTACGCGTTGTTACTTCAGGTTGAGGAGATAGAGAAACAATGCGTGGAAGCACAAGCCTGGATGGTGGATACTGTATTTAGGCTCAATTTCACAACAGGAAAGTCCGGATTGGCTCCTCTCTTTTTAAGCCAATACAATATGTATTTTTAAAGGGCAAATGCATCTTGGATCTCTAGGTTCAACACCAGCGGCAAAATTGACATGTCAGCCTTTTGTAACTTGTTGTTGAGCACTGTGTTCCTTGTCAGCGTGCTTCTGCTTGAGGCACAAATTTGAAAGTGTCCTGCTTCAAGCCGCTCTATTGATAATTGGAAAGTCGTGAGTAACAACAGGAACGCTGACTGTACTGGGAGCCTTTTCCGGAGTAAAGCATTTCCTTAGATTATTGTATGTTCACCCTCCTTTTTATTGTGTGCAAATGGTTTTGGATACTTCACCGAAGCAGATGGAATGTTTGCGTTTTGAATGGGAGGCGTGGGGAAGAAAGAATAAAAGGCAACTGCTGTTTCTCTTGGCAGGGGCCGTTTGTAGCAGCCTTTGCTTCATCAAACCTAGGAGATGTGTCCCCCAATATTCTCGGCCCACGTTGCGCCAACACGGGAGAGTCCTGTGATAACGCCAACAGCACTTGTCCCATTGGCGGGGTAGGTACCTATGCCAGGAAATCTTCGCTTTGGCATGTCATGTATCTTTTATGTTTGAAGATTCATCGTTCATTGACAGGTAGGTTTTCCTCAAGTATACACCGGCCTACGTACCTCTATCAACTGCTCTGCTCAAAAGCACCCACGAAATGTCAATGAGATAAAATTATAATTTCCTATGTGATTGTGAAGTTTTTTGAATGGTGAGGCAATTTAGGAAATGTCAGAGATTAAATATCCTTCCCCAAACGTGGGCCGCCTGAAACAGGATGCCTGGGCATTTCTGCGGAAACAGTACCCCAAACTGTCTGCCCGAGACATTGCTCACTCATTAGTAAAGCTATGGATTAAGAAAAACAACCACACACACAAAAACAATATAAGATAATTTTTTTTCTTTTAAAATTGCAAAAATCTTGCTGTCAGAACTCCAACAATAAGAAAGCATAGCGAACAGTCAAAAGTGAAAGACCCTATCACCTTCATCCTGCCCCCCACTTCCAGCAGTTACCTATGGAATGACTTCCTATGTATTTGTCTGGGTAACCACAAACAACATTTATAACTTACTTACTGATTTTTTTTATTGGTCCAGGATTTCAGTTTTCCACTCAACTTTGTCTTAAAAATATTTTATGACTATATGTGGATAAGTGTGGTAAGTTTCAAAGGCAAATGAGGCTGCACCATTATTTATTTACCCCCCCCCCCCAGCTCATTTAGATTATTCAGCTTGGACATGAGCAGCAGATGCTAATTTCTGGGTCTTATTCTTTGTGTTTAAAGAACATTTCACCTGTAATATTGCTTTTATTTAACACTATTTCTGGGCTATTTACTTTATTCCAATCAACCCCACCCAATGAGCAATACAGTTTCAACAATTACACTTTTCTATTATATATTGCTATTTTTATGTAGAAAGTATTCTTTGTTACCCTTTATTTGCAACATTTCTACACATTAGAAATTGTTGATAGGTATATATTTATTGTTCATATGGAGATAATCTAACTCAATATGGATGAACCAAAAGGTATTAATAAAGATATTTTCCTTATTGACTTTTCCAAGTTCCTAATATTTTAAAGTCTTAGTTTGTCATAAACAATACAACCCCCCCTTGATTTGTCAGTTGTCTTTCAGCTTTACTTATGTTTTCATTTTCCACATATGAATATTTAAAATGTTTAAGTTGTCAGATGTATTTAGCCTGTTCTATATAATTTTAGAAGGGTCTTCTATACCCTTAAGACTTTAAAATATATGCACTCTTGTTTTCAATACTTTTTATTTCATTTGTAATATTGAAACATGTGATTAATCTCAAATTATTCTGATGTAAGAAATAAGGTATAGAGTCATATTTATTTACTGATTTTTTCCCCCCGACAGTCAGCTAGCTTTTCCAATATAATTTTAACTGAGTTTCAGTTTAAGGTGATCATGACCAAGGACCACAGGCAAGAACAAGCAAGTAGAGACGTGTGCAGCCAATGGAGAGATGCGGAGTTAGGTCTTAGCTACCTGAATAATCTTTGGCAAATCCTCTAACACACGGAGCCTCATTTTCCTTATTTTTAAGTTAGGTGCTGGAATAGATGATTTCTAAAGGTGTTCGCTGCTCCAATACAAGTAATGCTTTTGTTTTTCGTAACCTATAAGTTGAGAGAATATCTGAAAAGAAAAGCTATAATGTGTCTTAAAATTATATTTGCTTAGATTCACTTGTAATGGTCCATTTCTTAAAATAATTGCTTTTCAAAAAATACATTTTTATTGATTTCAGAGAGGAAGGGAGAGGGAGAGAGAGATAGAAACATCAATGATGACAGAAAATCATTGATCAGCTGCCTCCTACACATCCCCTACTGGGGATCAAGTCCGCTACTCCGGCATATACCCTGACTTGGAATTGAACCGTGACCTCCTGGCTCATAGGTTGATGCTCAACCACTGAGCCATACCAGCCAGGCATAAAATACTTGCTTTATTCACCAAGAACACATCTGTCTCATTTTGTTCCAGGCTACCATGTGCATGGCTAGGGGACCTGGACAGGATATGCTCGACAGCACACAAATTATAGGACGGGCCCTCTACCAGAAAGCTACGGTAAGCCGTGCACCCACTCTTTGATCTTCGTTTAAAACTAGAGGCCTGACGCATGAAATCTGTGCAAGGGGCTCGGCGCTTGCAGCCCCGGCTTCGTCCAGAAGGTCGTCCAGATGGGTCCTCTGAAAGGTCATCCGGACTGTCGTTCTGCTGTTCGGTCTAATTAGCATATTAGCTTTTTATTATATAGGATTATATAGGATTGTTCTTGAAGATCTGCTGACATTGTTCTTTAGGAAGTCCCTTACTGTGAGGAAGACAAGAGCTCAAGCAGCACCGACGGGTCTGGAAAGCTGGTTGCTGCTGCAGGGCAGTTGGGAAGGTTTCTTGCACAAGCCACACAGGAATCTCTCTCTGACTGCCTGGTCAACCACTTACAGGAAGTTCATTTTACTTCTGCCAGAGGGCTTGCTTCGGGCAGTGGGATGATAGCTAGATTGTAAGGTTTTCAATTAGCGTGGTATATATGACCAGACTGTTTCAGAGGCGCGGAAATCTCTCAGGAACTTGCCTGCCAAATCACTTAGCCATTTCTTTTTAAAAATCTTTATTGTTGAAAGTATTACAGATGTC